GCAAAAAAAAAAAAAAGACATTAAAATTAACTTTAGAAAATATCATGAGAGTAAACCAACCTACACCCTAAAGGATCCTTTTGCTGGGTCTGGGTTTTTGTATCGGCTTTCTCACTTACGGCCATTTCCTTAGTTCCCATCAGTTTTGGATGTAAGAATTCTTCATTCCTCATACCAAAATAAATCCCACCTTCTCCCTCAAGCCTTGTCTCACTTCCTTCTTGAGCAAAACTTAGTTCATTAGACCTGCTTTCTGATTTAGCTAAACTTTTCCAAGCCCAGCAAAGCACCACACTTCTGTTTAAAGGAATTGTCAGCAACACAGCAGGAAACATGAACACAGACTGTTACTGTATATCACGCAGGGGGAAGAAAGGTAAAGTTAACAGTGGCAATGTTTAAGTTACCATAGTCTGCGCAGTGAGAAAACCTGGAGTCATTTTCAAGTTTTACCATTTCCTACCTCTTTTCAGTCGGGTCAGGTCTCAGTCTGGTTTCTTACCCCTGAAGAGAGGCTACTGCTAGTAAAGAGTCTCCTATCTACCTACTCGAGAATTTCTGTGAGGACCAAATAGATGAGGTCTGTGAAGACATTCACAAACATTTGCTGTGAAATGTTTGTACCTGGCTACGAAATGTTCGTATTAACAAGCTGCGTTCTTGGGCTGAAGAAATTCAAAGGCGGCTAGTCGCTAGGAGGAGGAAGCCGAGCGTTACTACGTGACGTCATCACTCCACGCCGGCCGCGACGGTTTCCGGGCTGCGCTTAAAGCAGCGTTCTGCGCTATGGGGTCTTGGCAGCGTTTGCTCTTGTTTGGTGGGGTGTCGCTTCGGGGTGGCGGTGGGACCAGTGTCCCGCTTGGGCGAAGCCAAGTGTTGGTTTGTCGGCGCCAGGTCCGTGATGCTGCAGGACAGGGGGAAGCGGGAGGGACGGAGATGCTAGGGCGGCAGGGCCGCAGGTGCCCTGGCATAGCCTCTTGCCGAAGACCCTCCTCAGACCTTAACGGGGCCCCCACTGACTCGGTGACAGACTGAGATCTCAGTTGGCTGAACGTCCCCACTTTATAAGCAGGCCCCAGTAGAACCGGCCGAGGCGAGGCGGGATATGCAACAGATTCCTAAAACATGGATGTGTGGCTTGTACACTGTTTTCTGTGTTGGTTTATTTAGCAAATAGTTTAAGGAGAAGAAAGCTTAACTCTGCACAGAGGCAGTTTATTTACTTTCCGTTTTTTACGTCTGCATATCCTGGCAGGTAAATTTCAACTTGAACAGTATATTTTTACCTTTGTGATCAATATCAATAGGTAGGACGAAAAACCGAACTAATGGAAATTAGAATTAGCCCAGAAAAGAAACCCGTCTTACAAACTCCGAATTTGTACTTTAACAGCGTGATAATGGAGATGGCTCATTTTAAAACTTTTTTTAATTTTTATTTTTTTTAAGTTATCTGGCGGTGACAGTGAGACCCTAAAACAAAGAAGATCACAAATCCTGTCCCGAGGACTTCCAAAGCAGAAACCAATACAAGGTGTAAAGCAAGTTATAGTTGTGGCTTCTGGAAAAGGTGGAGTTGGAAAATCTACTACAGCAGGTATTGTAGGATATTCTGATTTCGATTAGGAATTTATGCCAACTGGCAACCGCACAGCATTAAAATTCCAGTTTTGATTTTTAAAGAGTTATTTGTGAAATTCCTAATAGCTGATTCCCTAGTACCAGGAGTTGGTAGTGATTAGGACCTTAGATTTGCATTTAGAAAAAACTAGGTATATAGCCACGTGTTTGACTTCTTGATTGAGGAAAACTTGGTCCAGTTGCCCACGAGATTGCCCAGATATTCAGTTAAGTGTCAAATGGCAATGCTGATAATCTTTTTCATAGTGTAGCTATGTAAATTAAATAAGCTAACCACTTAGCCCAGTGTCTTCTAAGTAGTAAATGCTCAGTATTCGGTTGATGTTACTATTTTTTAAACATTTGGTAACTTTAATACAAATTATTTCTATTCTTTGATATTCTTTTCTAGTCTATCAATGTACATATAGCTGCACAGTTGCAATGAGAATTTCTACATTATTGTGTCCATTTTTCATTTAACATAATATTATAAAATCACCATTGATCTAATATTTGAAAATGCTTGGAAAGGTTTAACATTGTTTCAGTTATTTAAAATATCACCTAATCTTTATATCTTTTACATTAATAATCTTGGAGCAGAGAATTTGTTTTTGGTGGCTCTTTTTATTTGTAGATTTCATCACGACTCAAGTGCTGCTTTCAGAATCCATAGGAGAAATGCCACCAGAAATAAGAGTTACCATCCATGACTAATAGCCAGATATTCCCAAAGTTTTTCAAAAGAAATTTTTTATCGCTGAAAAGATTATTCCAGTGTAATGTAAAAGGGTAAAGACTTCCCTCCTTCCAAACCTGCACAACAGAGGTGACTTGTATTATTAATTTGTAGTCATAAAACACTCTTTATCTTATTGTTTCCTTATACTTAATTTTCAGTCATTTCAGTGGGAATGGCTGCTAGTTCAGGTTTTATCCCACTGTCTTTTTGCAGATGATTTTTTTTTTTCTTTTCTCTCTCTCTCTCTCTCTCTCTCTTTTTTTTTTAGAGGAGAGAAGAGAGACTGCCTGTGCATGTGCCTGCAAGAGTTGGGGAGGGGCAGAGGGAGAGAGAATCTTAAGCAGGCTCCTGGCCCAGAACAGAGCCAGCTTTGGGCTCCATCTTATGACTGTGAGATCCTGACCCGAGCCAAAATCAAGAGTCAGATGCTTAACTGACTCAGCCATCTAGGAGCCCCATTTGTTGCAGATGATATTTAGAAAATGACTGTCCTCATTATAGTTTATTTGTTGATTTTGGTGTAGCCCTAGACTGGCAAGATCCTTGAAGTCATTTTTTTTTCAGACTATTGAACTTAAAGTTGGGGGACATTTGTACCTTAAAATCCTTCAGTTCCATTGAAATCAATGACATTTTTGAAATAAGGGCTAGTACAGAGTTCTGTGACTATCACTAGAGATCTTGTCTTCACTTGAAACCATATTTAGTAATTTCCCAGTATAGCAGTTTTATAGTTTTACAACCAGGTACAAATCCAACTAGATAGTGTTATTAGTTCAATTTTTTCTCATTTTTACCTGAAGTTAATTGTGGAAGAGTTTTTCAGATATTTTGAAGAAACTAAAATTTACCAAGTATTATAGTAATAATAGGCCTCTAATATATTACTATTTGATAGATACTGTATTATTATTAAAATGATTAGTGATGTTCGTAATTAATGCTATAAGCTACACATTTTTACCTTCTTTTCTAAGGGCCTATAATCCATCTATTTAATGTTTCATTTTTAAAATATAGAAGCTTTTAGACTTTGGTTCTAGCATCCATCTCTTCTTGTTTTTTGAAAATTTAGAGTACATTTATTTGATTTCAGTGATGTGAATCCTTTTGCATCTCTGTGATTAAAGGTGGAAAGTATTTTCATGATAATATCTCTAAGTTTTTTGAGTTTTATACAATATAATTTGTTGGGTCTTTAGGTTAGTACTTAGCACATAGTTTTGTTTTTGGTTGGCAGATCATCTGTTGCCATGGAATGTGACAGCATTTTATGTTTCTTAAGTTGGCTCCACATCCATCGTGGAGCCCAGCATGGGGCTTGAATTCACAACTGTGAGATCAAGACCTGAGCTAAGGTCAAGAGTTGAACGCTTTACCAACTGAGCCACCTGGGGCACCCCTGTCACAGCATTTAAATAGGAAAATAAATGAGAAAATATACAGTTGTGACACATAGTAGTGTTTCAGTGAATGCCCCTTCCTTGCTTTTTTTGTTATGTTAGCATTATGTCATTCCTCCCAGAGAGCTGGCCTTTACTTTTTCCTAACAGCTCTATCTACATACATAAACCTTAGAAATAAGTTGTTTCTGTTTAATTCTGTTGGTATTATATTTCTTTCCCTTATATATATTTATTCTTGTCCCAAACTATCTCAAAATTCTTCCCATTTGAAAATGTATGCCCGAGATATTTTTGATTACAATGATGACATATGATGAATACAAACATTCTTTGTGATTCCATTGTATGAATGTAAGAAGACCCTAACACTAGATGATCACTCTCTAAAACGTTCTGCTTAATAGTTAGTTTATGTTTAACATATGATGTACTTGAAATTCAGAATTATTTTGTAATTTATAAAAATTAGTCAAGTGTCATGGCCTAGTCTAACTATTTCGTATCAGTTTTTCATTTAATTCTCATAATGGTTATGACATAGGAATTATCCTCATTTTATACAGGAGGAAATAGATTTAGGGGTAAAATATCCTACTCCAGGTTATGTAATAGAAGATGGTAGAACTAGGATTTGAACCAGGTCTACCTTGAAAATTTATGCTCTTAGCTACTTTAAGGAAACCATCTCAGCATGATTTATAACATTGTTCTGTTAAGGAAATGTGATTCACAGTATGAGAGTCTGTTTATTTATCAGTCTTGGAACTGTTTTACCTTCAGACCTCTCTTCATCTCAGATGTAGCATCTCTCTATTGCTGGGCTAAAAGTAGCTTTGAGACTATTTTCCTTCTTTATGTTTTGGGATTCACTAGCAATAGGCAGTTTTGGGAACATGTTTTACTGCCTTACCTTTGACCTTCTTCCCTTTCCTCTGCAAAATGAGCTAGCCTTTTATATAGGGGTATTTGTGAGTTAGGTATTTAGAATTCCTGCATTACCAGCATTTATTTTTCAAAGGCAGTAAGATCATATACATTTTTATTAAAAGGTAGATACTTTTTCTGCACAATGTTTTTGAAAATAATTGAACTCTATGTACCATTAACTTTTTTTTTTTTATTTTTTATAACATTTATCTATTTTTGGGAGTCAGAGCATGAGCAGGAGAGGGGCAAAGAGAGAGGAAGACAGGCCTCAGGCTCTGAGCCATCAGCACAGAGTCTGACGCGGGGCTGGAACTCACAAACCATGAGATCATGACTTAGGCTGAAGTCGGATGTTTAACTAACTGAGCTACCCAGGCGCCCCAAGATTGTTTTTTTAAAAAACTAAGTAGAGTATTTAAATTATCACATTATAAAAATGAATTATTTAAAATATTAATTTTAGGGCAGGCATCTATTGCTGTTGGAATATTACTGTCTCTTTTTGTCTTTTTTTACTTTCTGTATTCTTTCTATGTCTTTGTTTTATACCAGTGTGGGAGATACATTAAAAATTTCTCATGTTTTGGTTATTACATTGAAAATATTAAAAGGCAAACTAAAGTTTAGTAGAAGGAACATTACTAAATTTAATTACTTTTTTGTTTCTTACAGTGAACCTTGCACTTGCACTAGCAGCGAATGATTCGGTAGGTGTTTATTATTATGAATATTAATTGATTAAAATGCTTTTTAGGGAAATGATAAAGAATGTACTGATATTTTTCATTTACTCTGTCAGAGGCTGTGTAGTGTAACTGTAGTCACTTGTATTTCTTTAAGGAACTAAAAAGTCTGCCATAAATACTGATAACATTTAATGATAATGAAAATGAAAGGGGTCAAGGAATTTAGGCAGCCTCTAGAAGGTAGAAAAGGCAAGTTTATGGATTCTTTCTTAGAGCTTCCAAAACATATGTAACTCTGTCAACGCCTTAATTTTAGCTCATTGAAATCCATTTTGGACTTACGTGATAATTTCTCACAGTAGAAGTAGGAAATAAATATGGACAGGAAGTCAGTTTTCTTAGTTCTTAAATTTCCAAAGATGTCTTTATTTTGCCTTTGTATTTGATAGTTTGACTAGATGTAGACTTCCAGGTTCAAAATAATTGCATCTCTGAACCTTGTAAACAACATTCCTTTTTCTTCTCACATGCTAATAAAATGTCTGATGCTAATAGGATTCATATTGCTTTGTAATAACCTGTGTTTTTCCCCTCAAAGCTTTTAGGGTTTTCTTTATGTATTTTAAGTTTAGAAATGTCATAAATATGTGTCCAGTTTTTGGCTTTAAAATTTTTTGCCTGCTTGGAAGTTAGCCAAGCAGTATCAAGGTTTGAGTCTTTTTCAGCTTAGGGAAACTTCTTCCTTGATCACTTCATTTTTTTATTATTTTTTAAAATGTTTGTTTATCTTAGAGAGAGAGAGACAGAATGCGAGCAGGGGGAAGGGCAGAGAGAGAGAGGGAGACACAGAATCCGAAGCAGGCTCCAGGTTCTGAGCTGTCCTCACAGAGCCCAACATTGGGCTCAAACTCATGAGCTGTGAGATCATGACCTGAGCTGAACACTTAACCAACTGAGCCACCCAGGTGCCTCTTCCTTGTTTACTTTAAGTGGTGTGTTTGTTCTCTCTCCAGGTACCTATTGGATAGGTATTAACTCTTTATGCTTGTTAATTTGTCTTTCATATTCTCCATTTCTTTGTCTTTTGTTTGCTATATGTTTTGGAAGATATCTTAGACTATTTTCCACACTGCTTTGTTGGGTTTTAGTTGTTATTTAGCCCTTCTGAGTTTTATTTTTAAATTCAGAAATTGTATTTTTTCCAGTTTTCCAAAACTCTTTCATATTTTACACATACCAGAAAAACAATGGCTGTATCATTCATTTGAATCTCTCTGAGGATGCTAATTAGAACTAATAAAAAAGTGTTCCTTTTAGTGATCTGTATTTACTTAGCTTGGTGGTTCTTATAATGTGGTGCTCAGACCAGTAGAATCAGCACCACCTGAGAAATTGTTAGACATACAAAATCTTGAGCCGAACCGAAATCTGAATTAGAAACCATGAGGGTGGAGTCCCACAATCTGTGTGTGTGTGTGTGTGTGTGTGTGTGTGTGTGTGTGTATTTCCATACATTGTATTTTTAAATTTAATTTTTTTATTGAAGTATATTTGACACAGTGTTATATTAGTTGGAATCTGTTTTAACCAGCCGTCTATATGATTTTGAGGCATGCTCATCTTTGAGAATCCTGGATCTAGAGTTTGTGAAAACTCTTACCTCCTAATGTCACCCTCTTTGTTTTCTTTTTTCTTTTTAAAATGTTTTATTTATGGGGCGCCTGGGTGGCGCAGTCGGTTGAGCGTCCGACTTCAGCCAGGTCACAATCTCGCGGTCCATGAGTTCGAGCCCCGCGTCAGGCTCTGGGCTGATGGCCCGGAGCCTGGACCCTGTTTCCGATTCTGTGTCTCCCTCTCTCTCTGCCTCTCCCCCGTTCATGCTCTGTCTCTCTCTGTCCCAAAAATAAATAAAAACGTTGAAAAAAAATTTTTTTTAAAAATAAAATGTTTTATTTATTTTTGAGAGAGCACAGGGTGGGGGAGGGGCAGAGAGAAAAGGGGACAGGATTTGAAGCAGGCTCTGCGCTGACAGCAGTAAGCCTGATATGGGACTTGAACTCAGCAACCATGAGATCATGACCTTAGCTGAAGTCAGGTGCTCAACCAACTGAGCCACCAAGGTGATCTCTATTTACTTAGCTTGGTGGTTCTTTTTGTTTTCTAGTGTGGTTATGTTTTTTTATTTAGTTTTAAACTATTTTTTCTCTTGTTGTATCAGTGGGAATTTGAAGAGTTTAGGTAACCATATTGAAGTAAGAACCAGTAATAAATTTTTAAAAATAATTTTTATTAGGGCACTGAGTTACCCTGAAGAAGAGCCCTTATCTTGCTTAAAGAAGGGAGGAAACAGGGAAGATTCAGTGGTTGGGAAGGTAGATAAATTTGTAGGTGTGGGGATCTTTTAATTTGGTTATCATTTTAGCCAAAGCTTTGAGTCTTAGGTCAGTGTGACGCAATAATGGAATAAGAGAGAAAATGATGAAAAGAATAGTTAAAGAAGGGTTGGTTCCTTCATGTTAAATATTGCCAGTCTTGATGAGATGGTAGCTCAGAAAGTTTTTTTTTTTTTCCTTCTGTTTTTTTGTGATTTTTCTTTTCTTCTTTCAGGGAGCAAGGATGAGGGCAGATCCATCTTTAATGCTTTATATGTATGATAGGGAAATGGCAACAAGAAAGGAAAAGCAATAATACTTTACCTGGCTCATTTCTTCAGAAGTCTTTAGTATCCTCAAGTGTTTTTAAACATGTTTGTAAAATCTTCCTTTCGTTGTCTATGATCCTGATGAAGGTGTTTTTTTGGTTTTCATTTCTTGATTTTTTTTTTTTTTTTTTAGCAAAGTTACTATTTTTGATTAGAGTCTAGCATGTTTGTGACCTGCCAGAGTGACCTGCCAGAGGGCAGCCTGCATATAGAAAAGAAAAGCTGTATCTGTTCTATATGATATAAATGCATCTGGCATAGTTTTTATTTTATTTTATTTTATTATTTTTTTATATGAAATTTATTGTCAAATTGTTTTCCTTACAACACCCAGTGCTCATCCCAACAGGTGCCCTCCTCAATACCCCTCACCCATTTTCCCCTCCCTCCCACCCCACATCAACCCTCAGTTTGTTCTCAGTTTTTAAGAGTCTTTATGTTTTGGCTCCCTCCCTCTCTAACCTTTTTTTTTTTCTTCCCCTCCCCCATGGTCTTCTGTTAAGTTTCTTAGGAATACTACGTGGCAATGGCATAGTTTTGTACTCTGTATTTCCCAACTTAAGATTTTTTTTTATTTTACTTTATTTTATGTATTTAAAGTTTATTTATTTTGAGAGAGAGAGAAAGAGAGCACACATTTGGGCTGTGTGCTCGCGTACCAGCAGGAGAGGGAAAGAGAGGGAGAGAGAATCCCAAGCATGCTCTGCACTGTCAGTGCAGAGCCCAACGTGGGACTCAAACTCTTGAACGATGATATCATGGCCTGAACCGAAGTCAAAAGTTGGATGCTTAACTGACTGAGCCACCTAGGCACCCTCCAACTTAATATTTTATTAATATTAAAATACTACAAAATATTGTTTGGAGGACATGTTTGGTCCTTAGGGGAAACCCAAGGTTCCTCTCAGCTCTTCTATTTGCCTGGGTTGATATAGATGGTCAGGGTATATCACTTTATGGGGTTAAAAACTCCATTAAGGATGGTGTTTTTAGAGCCTCTCTAATGATTCATTTTCATGGAGTGTTAATTTGGTGGAGCTTGTCCACAGAGTTGTATTGTATTGTAGTGTTTTTAAAAGGGGTCTCTGATTTGCTTTTCCGTAGGCCAACTTTGTTCAAGACCTTGGTTGGTCTTTCTTTCTTTCTTTCTTTCTTTCTTTCTTTCTTTCTTTCTTTCTTTCTTATGTTTATTTAGTTTGAGAGGGGGTGGGGGAGGGTATGAGCGGGGGAGGGGCAGAGAGAGAGGGAGACAGAGAATCCTAAGCAGGCTGTGCTGTCAGCACAGAGCCCTGTGCAGGGCTCAAACTCTTGAACCATGAGATCATGGCCTGAGCCAAAATCAAGAGTCATCTTAACTGACTGAGCTCCCCAGGCACCCCTCTTATTTCCTTTCTTTTCCATGGGTTGGTGCTTACCTTTTTTCAGCATTGGAGTGGGAAGATCCAGGAAAGGGAGACAAGGGCCAAGAAGCTATTCATTTTACTTTTCATGTTGACTTTAATCTCTAAACTGGATTTTGTAAACACTGGGGGTGTGTGTAAGATAGTTCATTGGGATGTGGGAGGGAAATTTTTCTTTTCCATTTGTATTAAATTTTATCTTATCTTTTTTTTTTAAATTTTTTTAATGTTTATTTTATTTTTGAGAGAGACAGAGACAGAATGCGAGTGGGTTAGGGTCAGAGAGAGAGGGAGACACAGAATCTGAAGCAGGCTCCAGGCTCTGAGCTGTCAGCACAGAGCCCGACGCCGGGCTTGAACTCACGAGCTGTGAGATCATGACCCGAGCCGAAGTTGGATGCTCAACCGACTGAGCCACCAAGCGCCCCAATTTTATCTTATCTTTTAAAATTTGTTTTTTTTGGTATTTTTTAGAATTTATACTATATTAGTATATATAGTGTATACAGTAGCTCTAATGTAATTTATAAACAAATATATTAACATATATTAGGGATGTATGCTCAAACATTTTTTTACTTATTGGAGTTGATGATCAGAAAAGTTCAGATGTCACTAGCTTCGGCAAAAGAAATTTCTGGGTTGGGTTATGGACCCAGTTTAAAAGAAGACTACTTTGTAGGTTGAAGTAAAGGCCTTCCAGGAATAGGGTATGGATTTTCCCTTTTCCTAGTCTTTGGTACTTACCTTTGGGAATGTAGAAGGTAGTATTGCAGGGCAGAGTTTGGGATAATGTGTGCCATGTGTCTAAATATTGCCTCCAGTGGTTTTTTGGAGCTGGCTCATGCTAGTTTGAGAGTGCTGATTGTTAAATTTTCAGGAATTTGGGAACTAGTTGATATCCTGTTGTTACCATGCAG